GAGGAAACAGGAGCTCACCCTGCTAACGCAACGGCTGGACTCGAACCGCTGAAGCGTTGACCATTTCTGGCCAGCAACTTTCAGCGTCATTAAGCCGCTGTGCCACTGCGTCCCCCTATCTTTAACGCTAGCAAAATAATTTTTAGGATCATCCAATGCAGATTAGAGCCCTACACAGAAAGGGAGATGCCAGATGTTCAATATGGTTTTAGAAAAGTCTCAAGACCAAAGACATTATTGCTGATGTATGCTGGATATTTGAGAAAGCCTAAACTATACTAAAAAAAGAAAAAGAAAAAGCCAGTAAGTGTTTAATTGACCATAGAAATGCCTTCAATTCTTTCAAGCTGTGTCAAGCTGTGAATGTCCTTAAGAAAATGGGAATCTCAGAATATCTCACTATCCTCACACAAAACCTATGGACAGGACAAGAAGTCATGATCTGGGGAGAACACGGCAAAACACTTTAGGTTAGCAAAGGAGTAAGGAAAAGGCTATGTACTCTTTCTTATTTGTTAACCTACATGCTGTATATATATTGAGGAAGGCTAAATTGGAAGATGACGACTTTTGTTTTAAAACTAGAGGAAGAACCATCAGTTACCTGCATTATGCTGATGACATTACTCTCAGCTGAAAATGCAAATGATCTGCAAACTCTAGTAATGAAAGTCAAAGAGCATAGTGAAAAAAAGGCACTATTAAATATAATGAAGATCAAATTGATGACAATAGGCAACCAGATTCAGAACTGACAATGAAATGGTGGATAGCTTCTGCCTCTTCAAATCAACTATCAACAGTAAAGAAACATACAGTCAAGAAGTATGCCACTGACTAGCATTTGGTAGGGTACAATGAAGACCCTGGAAAAGATATTCAGATGCTGTGATATATCTATATCTACAAAGATCAGAATTGTGCAGGGAATAGTTTTTACCTGTGACACTCTATGGAAGCAAAAGGTGGACTCTGAAGAAGCAGGATAGGAAGCATATTAACGCTTTTGAATTTTGGTGTTGGAGAAGATTCCTGATAATATCATGGACAGCCAAACCAAACAATGGGAACAAATCAACTCAGAGTTCTAGAGACACATTATGCAAAGACCTAGCTCTCTGGAAAAGGCTCTAATGCTGGGAAAGATGGAAGGAAAGAGAAAAGGATGACCTGCAGCAAACTTGATGGTCTCAGTTAAAGTGGCGATGGGTGCAATGTTGGAAGACATGAAAGACCAGGTTAGGGATAGATCGTCATGGAGAAAATCTATCTATGTAGTCACTAGAAGTCAAAAGTTACGATGGCACATAATCAATCAATCATACTGAATGATATATACTATTCTATTCTAACGTGTTAAGAAGTCATATTGTACAACAGCAGAAATTTGGATAATATTCTTTAGGCTTTTTTTTATTAATGGGGCATATGCACAGCTAAACTTGCTACCAGGTACCCTCTGATACTATTCATGTATGTACCTAAGATTATCATATGGTTGATGATAAAACCTTTTTGGATCAATCAAACTGATACTGTCATCCTATAAGATATTATGCTAACAATATCTTAACGAAATATATTAATATAACTAACACACTTATTCACTAGCTGCATCAAGTTCAATACATTTCACTTCCTGGAATATGTTGCTTACAAATTACAAGTGTGCTAAAACAAAACCAAGCCAAGCACATCATGGAGTAGTGAAGTGTAACTAAATGTAACTAAATATTTGGTAAGCATATAATTCAACGACTACTTCCAGCCTTCGTTCCCAATGTCCTCAAACTTGCTTACTGTCATTTGTCAGGATTTTGTTTTAAAAAGCATACATTTATTCATTTATTTAAAAGATCTGTATAGCTGCCATCTTAGAACACAGCTCTAGGCGGCTCATAACAATATACAGTCTAGTACATATACATGAAGAACAATACTTTGCATCTCAAAATTGTCTCATGGTATCACACAACTCTCTGTAAGAATAATGCATTCTTACAGATTCTTACGGATTTAGCCCTGAACTGAAATACAAATGAATAATATTGTTGCCTCCAGATTTCTCTATGAGTTACTTTAAATGTATTATTATAAATTAGAGTTAAGGGCAAATCTATAAATTACATTACAGGTCATAATTTCATTATCTTTTCTCCAAAGCTATTTATTATTGTATTATAGCCCAACTTTCTCTGGAATGCCAAACTGTCTACCCAGGGGTTTCCCCCCATTTTATAATCACAACAATCATGCTATGAGGTAAGTTGGGTTAAGAGAGTGGCACAAAATCACCCAGTGAGTTCCTTGGCCAAGTGGGGATTTTAACATCTGTTTCCTAGTCAAACAAAACATTTTAACTACTATAATATATAGGCTTCTTAAACTAATAGGATTGCTTGAATGGATGCATTTTGCTTATATCATAAATTCCATCTTATGTAATTGCACTGGACTGCTTTTTTCTGATTCTATATTTTCTTGTATGTACTTTCTTACTCACAGAGCAAAAGCCATTATAAAGGACCATAGGAGTTCACTGGCCCCATATGTCAATTTTAACTTAAAAGAGTTAATTCTGCCAAGTTAATGTTATCAATATAGTACCTTTATACTATAATCATTGCTAACTATGATTGTTTGGGTATATGTACATGGTGATGGTGAACTATTACGCTACTGAGGTATTTAGATCCATCCTATTATTTAGTATTTGCCCCAGTATTTAATGTAGGGTTCCTTTTTCTCCCTCTCTTTTAACTTTATAAGATCTAATCATTTTCTATTAGATTTTATTTTTGAAATGTGATGCCATTAAAAAAAACTGATAATTTTTAAAAAAATCAATTGTAATATTTATTTCTTAGGAATTTAAAACAGAGGCACTGAACCTCAATAGCTTTGACACCATCAAAAATATGGAAGATTAAAGAGAATGAACTTAAAATATTTTACAACTACAATTCTGTTACAACTACAATTCTGTTAATTAGAAATGTGCATAAAGTATGCAATTTGGTCAAAAACAAAGACGTTTTTTTTTTCCAAATCACAAAACTATTTAATAGGCAAGCAAAAAAAATATCAATTGTCTAGTTCAGCTCTAATTGCAGTTATATAAAACTAGCTGCACCCAGTGTGTGAAGTATTTTATATACTCAAGGCTTATTGCAATGAAAGCAAATGATAGATTAATATCCACATTTATACATATATCCATAAAACATTTCAATAAAAATCTTTTTTGGGCCAGAAGCCTTAAATAGAGATATTTAGATATATGATTACCTTTGAATACACATGCTTATGAAATCAGCAATATTGAACAAAGGTTAATGTTTATGTAATAGAATCATTACAGTATATAACATTCATAATTTTAAATTCATCATAATATATATCACCATTATCCCAGAATGGGAAAATTGATTATTCAATTGTTCTAAAATTAAACACAATATTTATTTCTGTTCTTAAGTTACACTCAACTCTTTCAATAAATATAAGATCACTTATATGATTGAAGAATAAGATAAGGTATTCTTTGCTGGTCCTCATATCAGAATTCTCCATCATATGCTACCTAATCACTTTGCATTTCAATATCACCCTGTTCAAAATAAAACAATTCAATTGCTCTTTGAAAATGAGTTCAGCAGGGAAGGATTTAAGCCCACATTTAATAAATATCAGTTTCATATTTCCTTTCACAGTGGCATAAATAACTATGCAAGACAAGAAACACTAATCCTCCCAAAATATGTGTGTTTAAAAACTATCTCTGTATGCTACAACAAATGCTCTCTTCCATCACTGCATCCTTTTCTGATGTTATTCATTCTCCTTACACAACAACCTCTCAATTCAGGTATCAAATTTAAATGTTTCCAGGGTATCGCTATCCCTTGTTTTTCCATCATCTTGTCTTCAGCTTCCGTCCTCCTCTCCCCCCTCCTTGCTGCCGTCACCTGCTCCCTCCCAGACGGCCTTGTTCTTCCAGGTCAACTCTTTACACACCTTCTCTTGCCTATTCATGCAGGGTGTGTTTATGCGCGAGGGAGGAGGTAAAAGAAAGCCATGTCAAGGCAACCGATTATATTTCGCCGTCGACGCAAGGGAGGGGGAAGAGGCGGATGGTTAATACCAAACTCTTCCTGTTCACTCACATTAACACTCAAGATTCTTTCCGAAGACTAGCCCAAAACACACACGAACAGCCTACGGGGGTTCCCCGCCTGTCTCCCATCCCCACATCCACCTCGGCACTGACTCGCCGCATTGCCAGATCACAAAGGCCTGTCTCACGCATCAGCAAGGGCCACGGCAGCTCATCCTCCCCGTTCCAGCTCCGCTCCGAATCTACCCGAAACCTGGCCGTGGGGCACCTTTGTCGCCCCGATCCGCGTACGCAGTCCTTCACCCTAAACAACCCTCATCGCCGCCTCTGTCGCCTTTTCTTCCCCAGGCCGGCCTCTCCCTACAATGACAGCCGCCCTATTCAATTCTAAGGCCCAGCCTGGCGGCCGCAGGTACCCCATTTCCCATCCTTTGCCTCCCCTCTCTCCTTCCAATTTACCTAAGGCCACCTCACAGGCTTTGCGCAGCTGGGAATGGTGCGCCTTCTTCACCTCCTTGTCGGCCAGGATCTTCTCCAAAGCCCGTGTCAGGAACATGTTCTTCGTTTTCTTCCCCTCATACATGAGGGCGCACTGAAAGTGAGGGGAAAAGTGGGTATGAGCGGGGTTGACTCTCAGGGCTCCGCCGGCTGAGACCTGAAGCGGCTTTCCGGGAAATTGTCTCCCTCCTTGAACGGAACTGAATCCGGGCTCTGACTGGGTGGCTACTGCGGGCCCTGCTCGACGCTGAGGAGGGACGAACCGGCTCTCACAAGAACGCAACGCTGCCCGCTTGCCTCAGCCCCCATTAGCAGCAGCGGTAGAAGCGAGAGCAGCGGCAGCGGCGACAGCAGCAGCCTCCCGTCCTCGCCATGTTGGAAGGAAACGACGTCAAGGCCGGGCCGAGTGGTTACAGAGGAGGAAGCGGCAGCGGCGTCGAGGTTGCTACTGCTGCTGTTGCTTCAAGGCCGGGAAGAGAGGGCGCAGCCGCAAGGAGGGAGGGAGGGAGCGAGCAAATAGCGGCGCTACCAGTCGCGCAAGGTAGCAAGGGGTAGCTGAGACTGGCTGCCGGCGGCGCGCAACAGGTGCGAGGAGGGCGGGGCCTGGGATTCCTCTTCGGAGAGAAGGGAGCGAGGGACTGATTGGAGGCCGGGCCCGCTCGCCTCCAGCCTTCTCCCGCCATTTTTGATTTCTTTGAGGGCTTCCGCCGACCGGGCAGGCTTGTTCTCGCCGGCTGACAAGCGGTTGGAGCCCCATTTCCTTTGCGTCTTCTTGCCAGGCAGATCTGCCCGTATTTGCCACACGATGGAAAAGAATTTACCGGCGCCTGGGACTCGACTCGAACAGGCTGGGATTTTTCCTCATTAATTTCGGCTGCAAAATGAGTATAGCAAAGCTGGGGAAATTGTGTTTTTGTGATTAAGTACTTCCTTTGGGGAACGGCTGCGTAGCTTGTTTCTTATGTTTATCTGCAGATAATGTCTTGCAGATTGTAAGCGGATACTTTTTCTAGTCCTTGGACCCTTGTTTTATATTTTGAATCCTTATTCACAAGTACGTGTATACAAACTCACGCAAAAAAGGTGTGGCGGCATTTTTAGTATTAACAGATTAATGAAGCTATGGAATATTGTGGACTAGACTCCGGTCTTCAAATGCAAACGTGTTAAACATACTGTAATGTCTTTGTTTTGTATTCTATAAAGATAAACAGTGATATTCTTCTGTATACTGTAGTAGAGTGACTAACACAACTACTTGAATATTAAAGCAATGTTTCTACCTTCTTCAACAGGTTTGCATCCTTTTATTTGCAACAGAAAAGCTAATTTGTCTCTGAAAATTAGCTATTGCAAATAGGAATGAAGGAAATCACATCTTTTTGCTAAATTGTGCTACCTAGAAGAAATAGATTGGGAGTTGGCTAGATAAGAGTTTGTTTCTCTCTAACAATTGATCAGCCTTTCTTGGTCAATCCTATTTATCCATTGAAAACTTTGATTTGAGTAAATAGGTTCTTAATCTAAACAAGTTATTTATATGGCAGGATGGACATGGAATATGATGGGTTGTTTTTTTTAATGTAAACCTTGTTTTCTAGCATTTGCCCCTACCTGAGGACTCATATCTGAAGTAGGGAGCATATTGTCAATACAATGCGTACTTGGTTCAGCCTTAGTTTAAACACTTGCTGGATGGTAATGAAAAATATTCTCTGAGACACCGAAAACCTGCTGTCATTTGGAGCCAACCGTATCAGGGTAGACTGATACTGGGATAACCATTTTTATCTATGCTGTATGTGTGTTGTATATGAGGGGGTTCTTTTATAAGTCTACAAGGAAGAAAAATACAGTGACTCTTCAGACAAGAAATGAATCCTAGCATGCTCCACTCCCTCTTTCTCCGCTTCCCCCTCTACATTACATTGCACAGGTACCTATTGTTTCTGAAAGGATGATCAACTCTCATGGTTGTAGTTGCAGGATATGGCTATTCAACATGAATCAGTACAAACAATTTTTTTGAGATCAATCCTTGCTGTGCCCAGTGGAACAGCAAATGCTCAGTTAAGGCTTGAGACAGGAATGCCTGCAATCCAAGTAAGGGCCTGGAGGATGATGATAGACTACTGGCTGAAGATCCAATTCTTTCCATTGGCCTGCCCCTCTAGTTTTAATAGACAGTTTTCCTTCTCCCTGGAAACAGGCTGTAGAGCAGAAGTTGGCATTATATGGGTTTTCTGTAGCATTTCTAATTTCTTTAGGGTATGACCAAGCCAAACAACTCACAAAAAAGAATAAGGGATATGAAGTTTCAGATCGAAGTTAATAGGCTGCCCCAACATGGCAGAAATTGGATCAATAAGGGCACTTGGGATCTAGTAAGATACCTACAAAATCTAACTTTCCCCAAGCTGGGAATAGCATTTTTCAAAGCCAGGCATAACATCTTACCATCCACATTGCTGCAAGGCAAATACTCCGAAGCCCCATTAAACAAACGTACCTGCCATTGTGATTGAATCCATTTCTCACATATTATTACACTGTAAATTCTACAGGGATATTAGGCCTACTTATATTTTGCCCCTAATATGTAAATTCTTACAAAGGCCAGACAATTTCTATGTGAATCATCTTCTAGAAGATTCAGAACACTTTATCACTTGTGCATAGCCAAATTCTATGTTGCCGTGATGAAAATAAGGCATAACTGGTCACAGAAATAACTACTTCCATTTTATTCATCACTTCAGGTTTACTGTGTGTTAGCTATCTTGTTTCAGATAATATGAATCTTTACCTCATAGATTGTAATATTTTAGATATACACTTGCACATATAACTAATATACCATTATACAGTAGTAACAGTTACATTTTTAGTATAGAGACTCCTTGTTATACTAGTATTTTATCTCTCCCATTTGATTTTACTTTTGTGTTGTATATTTTCAAATTTTACTGGTCTTTGAATAAACAGCATTTCATTTCATTTCTGTTTGTGCTTTAGGACATGTAAACTATTAGGTAACTGATTGTGCGCTATTAGAACATGAATGCCAGAGCACACAGTATTAAATAACCCTTTTTATTCTTTAAAAATCACTTCATACTAAACTATTCATAAATTAACTTGCTTGGAATAGCCATGGAATAAGATAAATACTATTTTTAAAAAGTATTTTGGAGTTTCCGTTTAAAGATGAACTAATGATTAAGAAATGATATATTTGACTAGCTTTCTTACCTTTTTGAAGGTATCTTCATCTCTCATTGCTCATAAATAAATATGATTGTTTAATTTATTGGCAAAATTTGTCTTTCAATTTTTGATTTTCAGTGACTTTCAAGTGCTTAAACCTTGTTTGTTCTGTCAGCGCAGATAAGAATCTCCAAATAACTTCCATTAATGTATTGATATTTCCATTCTTTAAAATATTAACATTCTTTTCTTCACACTTCTGATGCTAAATTAGTATAATGAATATATTATAAACTTGTATTTGTCATAGAGGACACAAGCCAACCATTGTTAAGATCGTTATTGACTCGGCTCACAATCACAATAACCATGTTTTGGTTAACCATGATTTACTGTATGGCACATAAGTAAAATCACATGCTAAGCCATAAAACATGGTTTATAAAAAAATCTGAATTTGCACAGTAAGTTAATTCAAAGCCACATAGATCACATTATGTCACAGTATAATTGGTTTCTGAGGAAGAGTTTGCAGACCTGAGCCAAGACATGTTGCTGCCTCTGATGGAAGATCTTCTCCAACACATGCCACCAAGTGCTCAAGAGCATGAAATTATTTCGGCATAATCACTGAAGTAACAATGACAGTAACAGTAAATAACCATCAATTGATTGCCTTTTTATGACACCCAAATGAGTTGCCTGAGGAATCTGCCTCATTCTGCTTAAGGAAAGGGTTGGGACTGATAAAATGTTTAAATCAGTGTTTTACTAATTCAATTCCTTGAGATTTAATTGCTACATTCTGGTTGGATCTTAATCAGATCCTTTAACACTTTGTTTCTATGTAATGCCTATAACACAAAGTAAGTTAAGTAAACCTCAGTTTATCAATCAATAACTATATCAATCAATATCTATTAAGACATTTAAAATTAAACATTATGGAGTGAAATTAATCTACATATACTATTATTCTAGAAACAAGTCCATAACAAATAATGAAACCAAGAATAACATCCAATAAAGAGGCAAAATAGTATTGGCCATCTGAGTACAGGTAGTCCCCAGTTTAAGAATGAGTTCTGTTCCCAGGGTCTGTTCTTAAGTCAGATTTGTATGTAAGCCGGAACAGTATTATTATATAATACTGTATAAGTAGTATTGTGAAATTAACTTGAACCATTGTGTATTTAACTTGAATCACTGTGTATTTAACTTGAATTTTGCTACAATAGACTCTGTTCTTAACTATGGGTTGTCCTTAAACTGGGCGTTCTTAACCCAGGAACTACCTAAGATGCTGAACTATTGGTGCAGGCTGTATTCAGAAGATTTTACCAAAGGCATTACCAAAGGTATGCAACTGGGTGGGGGGAGATCTAGCATCAATATAAGGAAAGTGAGCAAAGCAAAATAATAGCGTGATTATCTCTCTTACACCTTCCCTCTAACCCTGGGATTATAACAAGGTTTGACATCAATGGAAAAAAGTGCTTGTATTTATGTAGCGGGTTATGATTGACAAAGAAAAAGGGCAGTCTCTTAGCAATGACTGAGGTAATTTATGGAATTAATTAATTTATGGAATTAAGGAAACCTTATGTATGAATGATAAGGGATTATATATTAGCCAAGTCATGTATCTGCTGTTGTGCAGTATAAAGTACTGACACTTGGTATAATAATCTTATTGATTTGCCAGTTATGTACTACACTTGTAGCATTACATAAAACATACAGAACATATTGTGCACAGAAATATCTTGTTTCTGTATGTAGAGGTGAAACTCGAAAAATTAGAATATCGTGCAAATGTTCATTTATGTCAGTATGGCAACTCAAAAGGTGAAA